CAGCGTGCGCATGCTGAACGTAAACAATGCTGATTACCTTGATTACGTTCTGGGATACTCTCCAAAATTGCAGAAGACGGTAACTCTGGGACAAGAATTGTTAAATAAGTTATGTTATTACTGTTTTCTTTGTGCACAAAAAGTATTCTCGTAGCTTCGTAAAATGGACCATGGCAGTTGTTAGTCACGTAACCAGTGGCGTTTTTATTGAAAAGGAGCAGCTTGGACATTCTGCTAAACATATTTTGTGTTCCACAGAAGAAAGTACATCATATATATGGGTCTGGAGCAACATGAGGGTGAGTAAATAAATACAAAACTTACATTTTTCAGAATTGGGTTTCCTATGCATATCATAGGCCCTATATTATATCTAGATCAGAGTTTTAGATTTACATGTTAGCATAGTGACTCTCTGGGTTTGCTGTTGTTAAATACAATAATAAATAAATATGCGGGATCTAAATATGAGAAGATTTAATTCGATAACAACAAAAACAACATCACATAGCACTGCAATGAAAGTACAAAGTTATTTTAATAAATCACTTCTAATATTATTATGACTTTTCCATGCAGAATATTTTCCTGGATCAATGTACATTATGTGGAAAATAATGTGTTTTTTTTTACTTTAAACCGCATAAACACATTTCATTACACCAAATACACAAAATAATGTTCTTTTTAGACCCCTTTAAAATCTGTCTGTTTATAGGAAGTCGAACAAGGATGTTGGTGATCCAGGAACATTGTCATACTTGGCAAAATCACAGAATGCGATTAATAAGCCACAGATGTGTTTACAATATGAGACTATCATTGGTCAAACAAATCACAAAGCTGAAAACTGATTAATGCACATGTAGAAATGTTCGTAATACAGTATTTCCAGGTTAATTATTAACCTTAAGAGTTTGTATGCAGTTAGAGGTATTATCTTGGTAGTCAAAGAAATTTAGTGTGCATGTATAAAAATTATGAATTCTTCTCATGACAGTTGCTAAATGACACAAAAATGACCACAGTGTTTAATCAGCACCAATGTCACCCATTCTCAGCTAAAACTGCAGTTTATGAGTTTCACATGAAATATAGTTTTCTTCATCCCTAATCAGACAGGATCTCCGGACATAGATCAGCACATAATTATATTCCATTAAGGATCGAAGCTTTTCTGAAGGCAACAGGGATTCAATTCCCTTTTTAATACTTTTATCTTACCATTTACTTTCTATCCACTTAAGATATTCCAACTCTTCCCTCTTTTTTGTGTCTTATTGCTTCTTTCACTCACACCTTCTGCAGGCTCTCTCTAGTCTACAGGCTGGTGCTGACCACGGTTATCCGTGGCCGACAGTCCTGGACATGATGGTTTATTACTGAGCTTTTCATTAAAGAGCTGTAAACGTTCTGCTTTTTGCCTCTCTTGCACATAATATCACATCCTGGTTGACTTTTCTCTGTATTTTTTGTACTGTACTCCCCATTGACCTCAGTGTGAGACGGTCCAGATTTGTTTACTGGTCGTGTTTCGTCTGCACTGGTTTGATTCTTTTGATCCTCTTCAACATCTGCTGATGAACTAAACTGGATTTCCTCATAAATGCATAGCTCCGGTTTGGATTGGTCAGAAGTGGGTGTCAATTGATTGTCAGACGATGTGATTGGTTGAGTGTCTGGTGATTGATTGGGCATTTCTTTTTTTCTATTAGCTTTTGCCATTTCCAATGTTGTTTTGGGACTTTGGCTCCACCCACAGTCTCCTCCCTCTGGTATATCAAGCGTTTGATTGGTTCCCTGGTCTAGTTGTTGATTTTCCACTGGAGGGAGAGATTCTTGAGGTTTTGTATCATGACCGTAAACCGGGACTAACTCGCACTGTCGGTTATTTGACAAAAAACACTCAGATTTCACGTTAGTGACTGAATACTTTTGTCGGTCAGAACTTCTGTTCTTTTTATGAGGTTTGTGTGTTTGATTGTTTTCCTGATGTCCCTTAAACACTGTAAGAGTTGAAATATGATTGATGGAGTGGCTTTCTATGACAATGATGTCATTGCAAGATGATTGTTGTGATGTTTTGTCCTTTAATTCATTGTGCGCATTTGTGTCACCATATTGAGGCATTATTGGGTTGGCCGACTCAGTGCTGTGGCTTTTAAATTTGCGTCTATCACCGCTGTAGCCGTTGCTCAAGTGTACAACAGTAGAATCTGGAAAAAGAAGATAAACATGTCAGAATTATATTATAAAACAATCACTGATACATAAATGCACTCATTGCATGTCTATGCATTGAGGTGAAATCTTTTGTCCACTGCCAATTTTAATGCAATTGCATTTGGTTATACAAAAGATGCAGAAAGGACTTCAAATAATATATTACATAGTTAAAAGGCTACGTGTTAGTATTATTTAGAGTTTTCCTTGTGTCCATCCATCTGAATGTTTCATAGTAAAATGCACATGCATGCATGACTGAATACTCAGCAAATGCATGTACCTGCTGTGTACTTCTGGATATCTGTCTCCTTTTCACTGGCTGTAATGAGTTTCAAGGGATGAATGTCGTCTATCTGCTCTCTGGCAGCACTGAAAGAAGAGAGGGAATATTTCAGAAAAGCGTAGTATCAACAAGGGTGGAACTGAATGTTTGAGGCTGAACAACTGTAGAAAGAATAAGTTGTTCTGCTAACTGAAAACGAAACTCAGACTAATTTATGGTGTTTCTCAAAAGCATTTAATGCATAAAGCTAGAAATTTAAAGAAATGCACAGCCAACTAACATGCATGGCATACAGTGCACAGAGAAATTAAAGATTGAGTGCAACTTTGAAAGCATGCATTGAGTATTTGTATTCATGCAACAATATCTTTTATTAATGTCAATTTAACTTTTTAACCATGCATAGCGTATTTGTATTCATGCAGATATATCTTTTATTAAGGTTAATTTAACTTTTTTTCATTTTGACTGAATTGTTTGCTGTAGATTGTGTAAATGTCCATACCTCATGCTTCTGTCTCTTTTATCCATGTGTCTGGGTTTAGTTTGACGTTTCTGAGAGCTCATGGCAGCGTCGCAGTCAGACTCAGAGTTTGTAAGGCACAAGGCTCCAGGCTCGAGCTGTAACATGCATTCATGCACACATGCACATAGTCATCCATGTTTATATTGATTGCACTCTGGGTCATTTTGCTTGCAATTTCACTACATTTTCCAGCAGGCTCTGGGTTATCCCATCTCTTTCCACATGGTTGTGCATCAACACAATTACATTACTGTGAAATATTACTGCAACTTAAAATAACTGTTTTCTGTTTGAATATATTTTAAAATGTAATTTATTCCTGTGATACAATGCTGAATTTTCAGCAGTCTTCAGTGTCACTTGATCTTTCAGAAATCATTCTAATATGCTGAATCTCACCTCTTGCTGACGGTGTGTCCAGACCTTTCTGTCAGCCAGTGCCTTCTCTCTGGCACTGCTGTTGTGATTTTGAGCCAGTTTCTTTTGTTGCATCTCTTCTGGTCCTTCGGCCCAGTGTAAGTGTCTGTTTTTGTCAGTCGTCTCATGCAGAGTTCTGCTGGGTTTCTTTGCTGCTCTCCTC